TTCTGTATTTGCAAATGATATCAGTGACCACTGTGTTGTGGCAGTAGCCAGAGATACAAAGCTACCAAAACAGAATCCGAGAATTATAACTAGGTGTTTTATGAAATATTTTAATGAGCAATCTTTTTTATATGATCTTGCTCAAATTGATTGGGATAAATCACATCACATCGGAAAGGCATTTATTTTCAATGAAAATGAAGGAAATAATCGAAAAGTTGAAAATGAAGTATCTGGTAGGGTTAGGTGTAGGGAGGGCTTTATTGTCCCAATAAGGTGGCATCCATTTAATAATTTGAATTAAAATGATAATTTACACTCAATACGTTACTGCATACTGTTTTATAATGTACTACAGTTCTATAGTTGCCACTATTTGCAATAAGTGGTATAAATAGCAGAAAATCCTGCTATTTTAACAGTTTAAATAGAATCTATAGCTATTTTCACTTAGTGTAAATAGCATATCGCTAAACAAATACTGCTATTTTCACTTGGTGTAAATAGCATCTATTGCTAAGAAAATATGCTATTTTTGTAAATAGTATCTAATTGCTATTTACACTTAGTGCAAATAGCCGCTGTCTTTAAAAAAAAATGTAAATCTGGCATGTACTGTACCTGATATATCCAAGATAATCAATAATGAATCAAATCGCAAGCTTGTGAATCAGAATCGAATCTTGAAATTTGTGTCAAAACCCAGCCCTAAGTGTAAAGCTCGTTTCATAGCATGGGTAGTGTGGTAAACTTTGCAATTCCTGTGTTTGTTTCAGCACTTCTCCATGACATATTAACTAAACAAGAAATTCTTATGGAGCAGCAGAGGAAGATTATGAGGATGGTGCAAGATCTCAAAGCAAACAATGTTTCTGAGATCACAGAGGCTAAACATTTAAGTCCAAAACGATGTCCAGTTGAAGATTTGAGGTCATTAACTTCCCTGGAAAGTCCGGAAACAAGACTAAAAGTGGTAGGTAACAGTTACTCATAGTTGCCTACTGTTATCTTACAAGTTTTATTGTAGTTACTGTTATAAATAAATGGTGTGTGTGTTTAATCTAAAACAAAAATGGTTGAAAAAAACTATTTGAATAATTAATCTAATTTGGTAAGTCTAATATCAATATTATTCAGCACTAGATTTAGCCGATTCAATCTGTTCATATCAGTGATCAACAAACTGCACAGTGGGTGCTTGGCACTTTCAAAGTCAATTCTGTTAAACAGGAAACATACAGTGAGAGCGGAGAAGATGAAATGGCATTCAAGGATGAAGAATCCTGTCCGGTACAAATAGGAAATCAATGGGCACCAAAGATGGGCAAACCCTGTGGACCTACATGTGGAAAGAAATGTACAGAGAAGATCCCGCATGTTCGAAGAAAAGAAATATTTGACTCCTATCAGGACATGTCACACAGCGACAAATGGGCTTTTGTATTTCACTCAGTTACCCAATCACTGAAAACACGTCTCACGACGGGAGGTCCCAGCAGACGCAACAAGACTTTTCAGTATCATCTAAATAACAGCCTCGGGCAACCTCAAGATGTTTGCAAAACCTTCTACCTAACCACACTGGGATACCACCCAAAAAACGACAGAGTGATTGTCAGCGTGACAGGCAACACATCCGGTGGCGTTCCTCCTCCAGACCGCAGAGGGCGACACCCACCTGCCAATAAAATAGATTTGTCGCCAATTTACCAACACATTGAATCGTTCAATCCAACTATCAGTGACTATAAATGTGAACACGCTGAAAGCAGACGATATTTACCAAGCAATGTAACTGTCATGAAGATGTACAAAGACTTTAAAGGCAAAAGTTCAACTGCGTGTTCATATGAAACCTATAGGAAAGCCATAAAAGACATGAATATAGGTTTCAGGAAATTGAGCGAGGAAGAGTGCAAAGAGTGTCTGGAACGCGGTATTCGCATTAAGACTGAGCATCTCTAAAGCAAACAGTAGCAAATAAATGCTGTGCCTGTTGTCACACTGTGCTAAATTTAAAATAAGAGCATGATTTCACTCGACTTTGTATATTATTTCTGCGGCAAAAGTTTTGGCTACATTTTACACCTCAGTGACCCATACAGATGTTTATGGCCCCAATATACTTCAAACAAAGTTCTTTTTCGTCTTCATTTGGGGGCAAAAAGTTTGAAAAGGCTGAGCGACGGTATACTGTTTTTGAACGTTTCAACACCCTCGCGCTGCTGGAGGCGGGGTGTAGATTAATGTGAATATGTGTCGCGTCGCTCGTGCGTATCCCCTAAACACAACAATAAATGCCTTCTCTGAATCTTTAAACGCTCTCCGCGAGCAATCGTACAGGTGCAGAAACATTTGTTCCAGCTCAGCTATTCGATCAACGATCGATCGGCTCGGCGCAGCACAGCACAAACAGAGTTTTTCCTTCCATTTAAAAAAAATCTCCATCCACATGAAAACGCAAACGCATGCTATGAAGCACTGTCAAGAGCATGCCAAACCAACAGGTGACGATATAATCTCAACCATAAAGCCATGTTGGCCAACCAGAAGCCGAAAAGGTCCCCAATATACTCCAAACAAAGTTCTTTTTCGTCTTCATTTGGGGGCAAAAAGTTTGAAAAGGCTGAGCGACGGTATACTGTTTTTGAACGTTTTAACACCCTCGCGCTGCTGGAGGCGGGGTGTAGATTAATGTGAATATGTGTCGCGTCGCTCGTGCGTATCCCCTAAACACAACAATAAATGCCTTCTCTGAATCTTTAAACGCTCTCCGCGAGCAATCGTACAGGTGCAGAAACATTTGTTCCAGCTCAGCTATTCGATCAACGATCGATCGGCTCGGCGCAGCACAGCACAAACAGAGTTTTTCCTTCCATTTAAAAAAAATCTCCATCCACATGAAAACGCAAACGCATGCTATGAAGCACTGTCAAGAGCATGCCAAACCAACAGGTGACGATATAATCTCAACCATAAAGCCATGTTGGCCAACCAGAAGCCGAAAAGGTTTCCAGTAGGCGGAGATAACAGCGCAGGCTCCGACGTCACAAGTCAAAAACTCGCTGTCTTGCTGGTTTCGCTGTCTACACGATAAAACTGCAACCGGAGTTTTTGAAAATCTTCACCCTGGCAGGCGTTTTCAAAAATGTTTGGTTTCAGTGACCTGGTGCTGCGTTTGCGTGTGGACGAACGGACAAACCGCATAGAAAAAGCTGCGGTTTGAAAAATAACCGCATTCGTGTGGACAGGGCCTTTGGCTTGTGACGTCGGCGCCTGCGCTGTTATCTCCGCCTACTGGAAACTTTTTCAGGCTTCTGATTGGCCAACATGGCTTTACGGTTGAGATTATATCGCCACCTGTTGGTTTGGCATGCTCTTGACAGTGCTTCATAGCATGCGTTTGCGTTTTCATGTGGACGGAGTTTTTATTTTAAAACGAAAGAAGGAAAAACTCCTATAAAAAATACTATAATACTCCTACTATAAAAGTACCCGTGTACGTGTGGACATGGCCTTAGAAATCCTGTGCCGAACGTGTCCCCGGGAAGTGGCACGTCTGGTTACCTTAGTTTGGTGAGCTGTTTCGAACTGCCAAAACAAACTCAAAATGAACTTCGTTTCAGCCTGATTTTGTTGGAAATGACATATCAGTTCGTTCTTCGATTTCATTTGAAGTATATCAGGGCCCTTACAGTGTTAGAAAATGGATGAAAAATACAGTAAAGCCACAAATCAGTTTTGAAAAACAACAAGATAATTAGATGAATTCGCATTTATTTACCTGCACTTTCTATTTGTATATTGTTTACTTTGTATCACGTTTTGTTGTTGTAGGCCGCTACAGATTTAGTTTTTATTTTTTCCCCTGAACATGAGATTGGGAAGTGTTATAACAGCATCAGTTATCTAACTAGAAAAGAGCTAGTGTTGGTGAAGTTAAGCATTCTGAACCAGTGAAGCTTTCAACACTATAGTATCGGGAAAAGGTTCATTACTCGAAGCTTTTCGACACTGTTTATGCTTTGGCCATCTAGTGGTCATAAAAATGAATAGCACCTTCCAAACGGCTGTGTTCCATTACAGCTGCTGGTTTCACATCTGGTTCTACAAATGATTCTTTGCTTTATTTTATTGTATATAAATAATGGCCATTGTCAAAGTCAGTCATTTGTGTCGGTGTACTGCCACTAAAATAAGTAAAATAAATCAAACAAATTCATAAATTAAATCTGTGATTTGTCTATTTTAATTCTGCCTCAGTCCTTAGACTGTTATTTCATGGGCAAAGTTCCATTTGAGCTTAATTTATAAATTACGATAAAAAAAGCAATGCTAACGCATTATAATGTAAAGGAAACGGCGCTGAGGTTAGCTTCATTTGAATCAGATACTGAAGCAGTCATTAGTAGTTTTCAGGCAAACGAAGCTTCAGACATCGTAGATCACCTGCTTTTGGCAAAACGAAGCAAGCTCCGGATAAGGTGCTTCAAAGTGAAATGTGTTGTTTTTTAGATACAAGCTTCGGAGCTTCCGTGTTGAACGTAACGTCACTAAAGTAAAACCCTTCTAATGAGAGTGTAAAAGTTGTTCAATATATATTTGCAGTTTTGATTGGTTGGGTGGTAACAATACAGTAACCCCAAGCACAAAATGTAAAATGTCCATGTTTTCAGTTGGTTATAAAGCCACACTCCGTGTACTTGACATTATTTACATGGTTTAGGGATAAGTTATAGAATTACTATAATTCCAGTTACTTTTATGTGTAGCAGATAAATATGGGAATATTTTAGTGGGACACTGAGTTAAAGACAAACGCTCCCTACTCTCCTCTGCTTTCTGTGCTTTGGTAAAACATGGACATTAAAATCTGAAGAGACAGCACTCTTATGATTTATTCACTGCACCACAGTGATGTACCTGAATATTTTTTTTATGAACGTGTATTACAATGTGCAACTGCAATCACAAATGGTCAAAGAAACAGTTCTTGCATTAATAGTTTTATTTTAAGCAGCTCCAATGTCTTCTAGCATGTATGCTTACACTCTTGACTGAGATTGAAAACAGGATAAATAATGTCACATCTCCTTTAAAAGCATTGTATTTAATACAGATACGTGGCATGGATTAAAAGTCCAGTCAGTGACTTTACATATTTATATGATCGGCAGCAATATTTTCACAAAGTGGCCCAGTGAGTGAAAGATTTCCACTTTGAAGCCCAGCTGTTGCTATTTTCATTTCTGATTGGCTGATTCAGGTAAAGGTGATCACATGAGGTACCAAGCAGCCAATCCAGCGACAGCAGCGACCCATGTGGCCAGAATCACCTGTACTGTGGACTGTCGAAGCAGCATCTTGGCAAAATTACATGCATAAGTCGTGTTTCCACTCACCGCTAGACAGAAAATGATGAAAGCAGTTGAGTAAAAACAACAAAACATTTTAAATTTACATGATATAAAACATATTAAAAAATATAGTGTCGATATTCGCTAACAACTCACCCATCTTGGTTGCATAGTAGGGGCATTTACTGATGTCTCCACCCATATCCCCATGTGCATGAAAGCCAATGTCCTGCACTTCCTCTTTTATATCTTTCCCAATCTCCTGCAACTCTGTGAATACCTGATGAAGTTCAAAAATTACTATTAACACATTGTTTAAACGCACATAAATGAACTTAACATAACTTAATTCTCCCAAAAATGAGGATTCGCTGAACATAGTACTCGCCCTCAGGCCATCTAAGATGTAGATGAGTTTGTTTCTTCATTAGAACAGATTTGGAGAAATGTAGCATTACATCACTTGCTCACCAATGGCTCCTCTGCAGTGAATGGGTGCCGTCAGAATGAGAGTCCAAACAGTTGATAAAACCATGACAATAATCCACATGACTCCAGTCCATCAGTTAACTTCTTGAGAAGTGAAAAGCTGCATGTTTGTAAGAAACAAAATCATTATTAAGGTGTTTTAACTTTAAACCGTTGCTTTTGGCCAAAATACAAGTCCATAATCTGTAACAATGCTTCCTCCAGTGAAAGAGTCCATCTCCTGTTTTCCTCTCACATCAAAATCCACTAATATTTGTTTAGAAATGTTTTGGACAGTTTTTGCTTGTAAACGGTGCTTATTTTGTACATATTTCTCTCCTGTTTCAGATGAAATTACTTGAGAAAGCAATATTACGAATTGACTGGAAGCGATGCTCTGAAGTTAAAAACATCTTAGTGATGAATTTATTACACAGCTTTTCACTTCACAAGACATTAACTGATGGACTGGAGTAGTGTGGAGTATTGTGATGGTTTTATCAGCTGTTTGGACTCTCATTCTGACGGCACCCATTCACTGCAGAGCATCCATTGACAAGCAAGTGATCTAATGCTACATTTCTCCAAATCGCTCTATACTGCCACCTACTGGCTTGGAGGTAGAGCCACTTATAGCCAAAGAGTTTTTAATGCCATTGTAGAAATACAATAGTAATTTTGTGTATGATGCCAAGTTTTTTTTCCCCCCCTTTGTAACCATTTACAAAGTCAGCAGGTGTATGATGCCTAATTTATTTTTTTATCTGTTCAGAACTTTTTTAATGTGGATAAAGTTGATGCACCCTCAAAACAAGTACATCCTGAACCTGTAAACATTATGACAAGGCCAATGTGGATGCATTCTTAATAGCTTCTTAATATACATTACTTCTATTTATTAATAACACTGAAAGGTACCTGAGAGTATCATCGTCGCTGTCAGTAAGGATGTTTTCTCCTCCGTTAGACACTGCTGAATCTGCAGCCATCATGAACTGCCTGTGCTTATGTCTGGTTCTCCTCTGATAAATGAAGGCAAGTCTTGAAGATGAGACGTCTACAAACAATGAAGCTGTAGCCAGTTACAACCAACCAAGGCCAAATATATTTAGCCACTGTTCTGTCAATAGTGATAAAGAAGCCTAATCATCATGTCATAGTGTTAATCTTCATTGCGCAACTCGTATCCATTGTGACATTGACTTATGACAGTCGGCATGTAAGTCTATGTAGCTAATTATATTAATTTGTATTCAGTATACGTACTGATAGGATTTTGCTTTGTTCAACTATTTAAAACAGGACCGCTTTTCTATTTTACCTGGTCTGCAGTGTTTACGGTCGGCGCTCTGCTGCAGTTCACATCACGTTAAGTGTTTACAGAACTAGACCCGCCTCCAAACAGGAAGTAGAATGACGCGCTATATGTCACGTAACTTTGATAGCTCCCCACATAGTGGACTCGAATGTAATTCCATACATAGGGAATAGTGAATGAGTGAACGAGTAAGCGATTTCGGACACAGCATTAAACCTCATGTATACCCATTAATCGTGTATAAATCTCTCTCGTTTTTAAATAAATGTCACGTACCTTTGATAGCTACCCACATAGTGGACTCGAATGTAATTCCATACATAGGGAATAGTGAATGAGTGAACGAGTAAGCGATTTCGGACACAGCATTAAACCTCATGTATACCCATTAATCGTGTATAAATCTCTCTCGTTTTTAAATAAACTATTTGTCTTTTTAATTGAAAGCTGGTGTGACTACTAGATCTGTATTATCTGTGAAGTGTTATCTACATCAAAAATTTCACAAAACTCAAATATAATGATATAATGCAATATAGTATGAGTCTTCTGTTCTGTAGCTCAAGCGGTATGCTTTGAATAAATGTGTCTGCTAAATGCTTAAAAGATCAAAGAAATTAATAAATAGTTGTTAATAATATAATATAATATAATATAGCCTAAGTGTTTCATTTTGACCTCCCTGTTGAAAAAAACAGCATATGCTGGTTAGGTATATTTTGATGCTGGTTTAAGCTGGTCCTTTGCTGGTTTATGCTGGTCCTTTGCTTAGCCTATATGATCTTAATGGTTCTCGCGTAAACCCAATATATTTTTATAACACTGAAAAAAGCTTCCACTCATGCATAACATTGAATGGCATGTAGGAAGCACATATGCCAGACACATTTGTCATCTTTTATCAGCATATAAGCCTACCACATCATCAGGAAGTCATATTTTCCCCAAGCGTATAGTGATCTGTAGTACTTCCCGCTATTTATGGAGAATGTCAATGTGTTCTTGGTAATATGGGAGCAGCCTGCCATGTGTTTGATTGAGCATGTGTGACCTGCACATAAGGATACAATACCATTATAATACACCTTAGATCGGACCACCAGACAAGCCGCTCCACTTAAACAAAGGAACAAAGACATTTTCCCTCTAGAAACCTTTGGCACCTTCATAGCTCTTTAATGTCTTGGAAGTGCTCCCGAAGCCCAATTTGACTTCTTTATTTTGTGCTCCCCATGATGACCGCCCACCTCTGTGTTTATTAGGGAAGAGCTTCCTAAGATCAACAATATTGCTTTGGCCTTGACTTCACCGCTGTGCTATTTCATATTCAATGTGAGTTCCTTTGTTTATGTGCACATTTGGGACTCCAGAGTGATTATCACCGCGGGCTCAATTCCTGAACACGTATCACAGGAGTATACTTTCAGTCGATAATAGTGGCGGTGACATCATTCTGATCAATTGTTAGTCCACGGTTGAGTCGTCGAGGCTCAAATTTGTCATCCAGATATTTTGCCCTCGCATTGTTTTGTAGCCTGAATATTTTTGGCACTGCAATTTTGAGTCCTGTTTTATGAAAGGAGAACCTTCCTGTCTGTTAGGATTTCCCCTTGTTTTCTCCAATGAACAGTTTAAATAAAATAATCAACAAGGGTGTGACAAACCTGTGGAGCATTTACTTTCAGAAAAACAGGTTGAACCCATTACAAGTGCTGACCTTGTTGACAAAGATTTAAGCAGATTTGGATGTTCTACCGGTCTGGTCAAGCTGATGTTCTTCTGATTTTGGCCACATTTACATTATGTGGCTCTAGTGAGCCAATTCCAATTTTTTCCTCCCATGTGGCACAGATCAGATATGACCCACAAACGTGTAAGCAGGAAGAATGCACATGGATTCGGATATTCTCTGATTGGTTTCAGGCCTATGTGGAAATAAATCAGATATGAATTGGATATGTGCATTTGCATCTGCCATGTAAGTGGACAGATCAGATATGGCCTTTTCCACAGTATTCCTATGGAACTGGGCTGTTACTCTGCTGCTGTGGGTTGTTGTTTACAAGCGACATTTTCTTAAAAAAAACGTAAAAATCTATTCCTTTTTATTTTGGCTAAGGCAAAAATACCACTTTTGACCACAAATCCTTAATAAAACAGTATCTGCTGTTAAAAACCTATCAGAACGCACAAAGGCCCATAGCTTAGCCTATATGATCTTAATGGTTCTCGCGTAAACCCAATATATTTTTATAACACTGAAAAAAGCTTCCACTCATGCATAACATTGAATGGCATGTAGGAAGCACATATGCCAGACACATTTGTCATCTTTTATCAGCATATAAGCCTACCACATCATCAGGAAGTCATATTTTCCCCAAGCGTATAGTGATCTGTAGTACTTCCCGCTATTTATGGAGAATGTCAATGTGTTCTTGGTAATATGGGAGCAGCCTGCCATGTGTTTGATTGAGCATGTGTGACCTGCACATAAGGATACAATACCATTATAATACACCTTAGATCGGACCACCAGACAAGCCGCTCCACTTAAACAAAGGAACAAAGATGTTTTCCCTCTACAAAACGTCCGAGTATTGAAAGACCTTTGGCACCTTCATAGCTCTTTTATGTCTTGAAGTGCTCCCGAAGCCCAATTTGACTTCTTTATTTTGTGCTCCCCATGATGACCGCCCACCTCTGTGTTTATTAGGGAAGAGCTTCCTAAGATCAACAATATTGCTTTGGCCTTGACTTCACCGCTGTGCTATTTCATATTCAATGTGAGTTCCTTTGTTTATGTGCACATTTGGGACTCCAGAGTGATTATCACCGCGGGCTCAATTCCTGAACACGTATCACAGGAGTATACTTTCAGTCGATAATAGTGGCGGTGACATCATTCTGATCAATTGTTAGTCCACGGTTGAGTCGTCGAGGCTCAAATTTGTCATCCAGATATTTTGCCCTCGCATTGTTTTGTAGCCTGAATATTTTTGGCACTGCAATTTTGAGTCCCGTTTTAAGAAAGGAGAACCTTCCTGTCTGTTAGGATTTCCCCTTGTTTTCTCCAATGAACAGTTTAAATAAAATAATCAACAAGGGTGTGACAAACCTGTGGAGCATTTACTTTCAGAAAAACAGGTTGAACCCATTACAAGTGCTGACCTTGTTGACAAAGATTTAAGCAGATTTGGATGTTCTACCGGTCTGGTCAAGCTGATGTTCTTCTGATTTTGGCCACATTTACATTATGTGGCTCTAGTGAGCCAATTCCAATTTTTTCCTCCCATGTGGCACAGATCAGATATGACCCACAAACGTGTAAGCAGGAAGAATGCACATGGATTCGGATATTCTCTGATTGGTTTCAGGCCTATGTGGAAATAAATCAGATATGAATTGGATATGTGCATTTGCATCTGCCATGTAAGTGGACAGATCAGATATGGCCTTTTCCACAGTATTCCTATGGAACTGGGCTGTTACTC